AGATTTTTCTGGATGATAAATTGTCCCAGAAGTCATTGCAATAAATGATGATATTGTTGGTTGAGACCATTTTAGAGCAATATCCATAAACCTCAAATTCTGATCAACATTGAACATTGAAATGTAGATGATGAAGTTTCTGTGGAGCAAGTTGAGACCAAACTGAGGAAGAAAAACAATAAATGATGAGCTCGTTATAATTTATCATTTGATTAATTGAGCAGAGCCACGAGTTTATCCAATCAGATTTAAGAAGGAGAAGATGAACTCTAACAAAACTTTGCACACGTGAACACGCATGTGACGGTTCCCGTGGCGGCACGGAGACGCCGCGGTGCTCACTGGGTCAGAAGCAATAATCGTAGAGTGGTGCTGAGGAGAGAGACGAGCGCAGACTGTGATTGGCTCTTCACCCCCACCTTCCTCTCCCCGCGCTCATCTCCCTCGCTCCGCGTCTTTCCTCACAAAGCCCCCACATTATGTGCCAAGTGAGCGCGCCGTCCCATACAATACCTCCTGAGGCATGATGGGAGAGGTTTCTATATAAAGACGGATAAAGCGAGGGGTGGGGGGCGGTGAGGTCACACTCCGGGATGAATCGCCGTGGTTTAGTACCGACTGGAGCGCCAAGCTGAAGTTCAGAAACCGGATTATTTAGGACGCTGTCGCCAGCGGTGATGGAGGAAGAGGATGAGGTTTTGCAGGTGCTGGAGGTTGGAGAGGCAGTAGAGGAAGTAAAGGAGGTGATCATCAGCACCATAGAAGAAGAAATCCGCAGGAGTTCACCTCTGAACTCTAAAACGAGCCAGGTACGATTGACACGTTGGTTGGGCTAATCTGATTACCGCCGTAGCAACCGGATTACACGCTGGCTGTTAATTCGCTGCCAACAACAGATGTTGACTTTTAATTTTCAGAGTTGTTTTAGTTCCTAATGAAATCATCTGCATGATCTGGGATGCGTTTGCTCTGAGGCGTAAACTTTAAACGACTCTGTTCACATGTGGCGCTCTTAGATCCAACGCTGCTGCATCACAGGATGTTTATGAAAGCAGCCAGAGTGGAAAGAAAACACAGGTGTCTCCTCATGACGACCCATAAACATATTTACAGAAAATTTAACAGGTTTTTATTTCATATTTTGCAGTATTTCTTGTCCTAATTGGTTCGGTTTGCCATTGTCCACCAGAACAGTTTGGTTTTTTCCTGGCAGCCGCACACATCATCCACTGTGTTGAAGCTGCAGTAAGGAGCTCCTGGGATTCATGTCGCTATATTTTTCACAAACAGACACACACACCTTGTCAGCCTCCCAGGAGTAAGCAGCGTTCCTGCACTTAGAGCTGAACAGCACAAACAGGCTTTTAGTGGACGCTTCATTTACTGACGGGCAATAGATGTTATTTATACTCAAGCAGAGAAAGAGCCATCTGGGTTTTTTTTTTAAAGATTTTGTTGCATTGTTGTGACTATTATTTGTAATTTGTGTGAAGTAAAAACACAAATGTTTGAAAAATCAAAAAAATTGGTCTTATACTTGATTTAAATCAGGGTTTGGTTTTTGTTTTGGACCAGATCACGATCATTGAGTGTATCGATAAAACCTGTTCACCAGAATTTTGTGCTGATTTTGTGTAAATTTTCACAATAATTATCAAGAAACTGGAGGGACTGATTGTTATAATTTAGCAGTAAACAGAGAAAACTGGATCAATTTGATTTATGACATGTAAGCATAATTAGTGTCTAGAATCTAGAAGGCCACTTAAGAACCTACGGCGGGCTGGATTTGGCCCACGGCCCTCATGTTTGACACTTGTGATGTAAATGCTATTGAAAATTTTCTGGATGATTTTCTACCAGTTTTTGCACAACTCAATTTTACTCAGAGTTATTGCTCTGCATCTGGAAACATGCTTTTTTTTTAAAGTCAATTCAATCTTGTCTTTGACTAGGCCATTCCATGCCATGGATCTCATGCAGGTTCCTCTGACCTGCAGTTAACTTACGGTATGTTAATTGAATAGAGCCAATTTAAAGTTCACCCAGATTCAAATCTGTAATGCTGAACAACTGAGCAGAAAATAATTCACACATTTCTTAAAATGAATTGTGTCAAAGTCGTTTCTTTAACCAAACAATTATCGTTTTACCTAAATGTTTTTTAAAAGCATTTCTGAACAACTCGTGTTTTAAACGTTCACATGGTTTTTGATTTGATCTTTTTAATGTAGCGTAAAGTTGGTTTAACGCTCAGCGTCAAATTCTCCATGTTGAAGCATTTAGTTTACAGATTTCAGGGATTTTTATCAGACAAAGAACCTTTTGCATCTAATCTGCCTCCTTCTGTTATGCTTTTAACATAGTTTCTTGTTTTTGTTATGGTTGTTTGCCTCTGCTACACTGGAGCCATTTTTATTTCTTTATTTTCTATAATTTATTAATCCTATGACCTAAATCAGCACTAAAGATATTCTGGTTTGTCGTTGTTTACTTTTTTATTAAATTTAAGAAAAAAAGTTGAGACAAAAGTGACATTCTATCATCTTATAGCTTGCAAAGTTTATTCTAAGGATCTTTTCTTTTAAAACATCAGATTGTGTCATTAACTCTTTAAAAATCAGAATTTAAAACTGAAAACTGTTTGACTTTTCATGGCAGAAGGAACATCTTCACCTCTGTTTGAACTGTACTTATTTATCTGGGTCTTAATCTTCGTATGATTAATGTTGAGTAAATCGGTGAGGCACATTCTCTCTCTTTCTTTCTTGAAATCTTTTATCCTTCCTTTCCTTCTGAATATTTTATTTAATTTCAGCTCCTTCTATAATATGAGCTGCTGGGCCAAATTCCTCACTGCAGCTGTAGAGTAAGAGCAGATCTGACAGCTTGTGGGTAACTGTGTGTGTTTTCACCATGCACAGTGTGTGTGTGTGTGTGTGTGTGTGCAGAGGATTTCTCATGTCTGTACTTTCCTGAATCAATTGTTTTTCTGTCTTTAATTGGCCGACTTGTTATTGAACATCCACACCAAACCAACAAGCGTGCGAAAAAAATGAATAAAATTAGCATTGAAGCAGGGCCGACCAAAGCCTATTTGAGGCCCTGGACAGATTTTCATTTGGGCCCCCCATGCCAACATGTCACCACCCACAGTAACTCATTACATTTACTCAGTTTATGAATATTTCTGGTTTTTCTACCCACATTTATTAAATTTTAATAGGTTTTTTTATTAAAAGAAATTAATTTGCAAAAATGTTCTTTTGTCTGATGTTCTTATTTTTTGCTACTGACATAAATTATTTTCATTTTCATTCTGAAAATACCAACATTTCCACTTAACTTTATGTCTTGTTCCATCTTTTCTTGCATATTCTGAAATAATTACTTGGTTTATGTTGCAGCATTTAGTTAAGTTAAACAACGGTTTAGACAGCTTGTCACTTGTGTTTAAAGCAACCTCATAAATTTTCATTTCTGAGTCAAAACCAAGACAATTTCTTTTGGACTTAAATTTCAGAGCAGCAGGTGGACTTTCAGTTTCAAGTTAAACCTCCTTCAAATGTTTTTGGAGATTTTTGGCCTTTTAGAAAACGTTTTATTTCTCAAAACTGCAACAGAAACACTTTTTTTACTTTAGACCAGTCACAATATTAACTGGCGCAAACCGAGAAGAAGAAAACAACAGGAAGTAGTCGGAGGATGATGTTTTTAACGTCTTATCATGCGAACAAACATATTCATGCTGCATTTATTCTTTAATAGAAACACAGCAATTAGTAGTTGGCCATTCGTTTTCAGGAGACGAATGGCCAACATGTTACTCTCGTTTTGTTCTCCATATTTGGCTCAAGCAGAAATAATTTATTTGCCGCTTAATGAGATTTCTTTGCCTCGCAGCTGCAATTCCTCCCCTTATTTGTTGAATCCTATGAATAAATTGCATCTTTGGCTCAGAGTTTAATTGGGCTGAGGCTTGATTTAAAACAGCCGACGTCAGGAATGTGGTCCCCTGTGAACTCTGACCCTGTGAACCCGGGTCCTGCATTCCAGAGCCGAGTTCAGTCCTCCTGAGGTCAGTCGGTGGACATTTCTCTCTCTAGAGAAATGCGGACAGTGACACGGGGATTTACAACCGCAGGTGAAAGACCAGATGAATCTGAGGTGAAGAGCCGACATGTCAGCAGCTCTGACTGATTTTCTGCTGCTCCTATAAACGCAATAAAAACCTCAAAATATTCACAAATCTCAGAAAACTAATTTGTTTTGGTTTTTGTTGAAAAATCAAATTTTTTCAAAAACATTTTATTTGAAAAATGAGATTTTTTTCCCACTGATGCTCATAACTATGATTTGCACTTTATAAAATCTTATATTTCAATAACATTATGTTTGTAGTACATATTGTATCACATGTCACTTTTGTTTTTCCATTTAATGTCCCACTGTCAGCCACTTGCAGGCCTCCGTTGCCCCGTGTTGTAAAGGTTCCTTCTCTGTTGTTTTAAGCGCCGTTATCTGCGGATGCAGTCAGACTCAGACGTCGGCACTCGGCCCACTTGGCAGCTCACTCTGGTTTTCTTTTTCCACTTCAACCACTTTTCTTCTTTCTTTATTTTAGGCTGGGATATATATCTCTTAACGCATAAAGATGCGACTTAACTTGTAGAAAATGCATTTTAGTTCAAAATAGCTTCTTAAAGTGTTAATCCATTCCAATAGTTTGTTTTCTTTAGCCAAAATTTACTTAAAATATCTAAAATCAATAAAATGCTGTATATTTGAGCTACAACCATTATGTCTGAATTGTTCCAGAAAGTCAAAAAGCAACTAAACAGCTTTAGATTCAAAGGGACTCAGTGTTTCGGCTGTTTCACAGTTTTCTGGAAGTTTATCAATGAAACAACAAATAAGTTATTGGGACTTTTGTATCCAGTCATTTTTAGAAAGAGAATAGCGATAAATTGTGCAGGTAATTGATTGATTTATTGATGCAGGATGATAACTGGGGGGAGACCACCACCGCCGTCACCGGCACCTCGGAGCACAGCCTCTCCCAGGAGGACATCGTCCGCATCACCAAAGACCTGGAGGACAGCGTGGGGCTGGACTGCCGCCGCTACGTCACCCTCTCCATCGCCGTGATCCTGGGCCTGCTGGTGTTCTTCACGCCGCTCGCCTTCCTCGTGTTGCCTCACATCCTCTGGCCGGAGAAGCTGCAGAGCTGCGGGACGGCCTGCGAGGGGCTCTTCATCTCCGTGGCCTTCAAGCTGCTCATCCTGCTGCTGGCGGTCTGGGCGCTCTTCTTCCGGCCGGCGCGGGCCGGACTCCCGCGTGTCTTTGTCTTCCGGATCCTGCTGGCGGTGCTGGTGCTCCTCTTCGTCATCTCCTACTGGCTCTTCTACAGTGTCCGGATACTCGACTCACAAGTACGTGAAAAGACTTTCCCTGCTGAAACTAAAGAGCAGATCTGGAAATGGAAGGTATTCTTCAGAGACATTTTAAGAGGTTTGATACACTGCAGACGTATTTATTTTTAATGCCAAGCAAAACAGATTTCTGCTCCCTGCTGTGATGTGTTTACTGTGTGAGTAATAATTTTAAATCCCATTTGGTGGAGGTTTAAAAGGCTGCAGATGCTCTACGTCAAGCCTAACGCCGCTTCTTCTGGTACCGCATATTCAGACATTGATGAACTGGTTAAAAATGAGCCGTGTTTGTTCCCGTAGGATGAGAACTACCAGGGCATTGTGCAGTACGCGGTGTCCCTGGTGGACGCGCTGCTCTTCATCCACTACCTGGCCGTCGTCCTGCTGGAGCTCCGGCAGCTCCAGCCATGTTTCTCCGTCTGCGTCACGCGGGCCACAGACGGCGAGACGCGGCACTACAACCTCGGACAGCTCAGGTGAAGATTCACTCTGCTTTTCTTCTCTTTCAAGGGAAAACGATGACCAAAGAATTATATTATAAAAATATAATTCACACCCTTCTGAAATTATGAAATAACTTAAATTCGGCTCAGTTTTGCAAACTGGACAGATTTTTTTCAGACTTGTACAATAAAGAAATCACTTAAACAGAACATGGCGAACAGTACGAAGTCGGACAAGAGATCTAAAAAACAAAACATTGTCTTCTGATTTAAAGAAATTCAGGAAGAGATGAGAAAACATTTAAACATTCATTAGTTTAAAAAGGTTACACTGTTGGACACTGGTAGCTAAAAAGCTAGTTGTGCTAACCATAAACATTAGTTATGCTAAAGCTAAAGTGCTAAGTGTAGTTAATGCTTAGTGCTAATTTGCATTAATTACATTAATCAATTCTTGCATTCTCACTCATTAGCATTAGCATGCTAATACTACTTAGTCCTATTCAATGCGCTAAATTCAACCATGTAGATTAGAGTACCAACAAAATGACTCCCAAAAAATATTTTTTTAATTTTTTGCATATATTTATGTAATTTACATTCTTTGTTGTTTGTTCATGTATTCATTTGTTCATTTAATGTTTACTTGCCTCTTGCTTCATAGTGTTTTTTTAAAGAGAGAATATGAGGAGAGGAAACAGAACTGTCAAAATAAAAGCTTGACACAAAGGTCTAACTGCTTGAAGAGTTCTTAGCGATCAATAATCAAAGCCTCAACACTAATAAAAGTTTACAGAAGAGAAAACTACATTTAGAGTTTAGAGTTTAGTTCAATTTCAGAGAAGCTAAGTCTTTTCAAAGTTAGCAGAAACGCAAAGTGAAAAGCTATTAGCAAATTATCTGCTTTGTGAATAAACTGTTAAAAATTAACAATTTTTAAATAAGCTTATGCCCATACCTGAGTATAAAACATGTTCTTTTAAAGGAAATTTGCATTATTCAAACTATTTGTCTGATTCACATCCGATTAGTTTGGATAGCTTTTTATGTGAGAATGTATTTTCTCAATTATTGAGTGAGAGGCCTTGAAACTTCAGGACTTCCTGAAACAACAAGATGGAGGAAGAGACGTGTGCTAATATCGACAAGGAGGCAAAAACAGAAAACATGAAGGAGACGAAGGCAGAATGAAACTGGGACACCAGTCAAAGATGGTTGAATATTCCACAATGAGAGGAAGGATTTCATCGGGTTGAGCCTCAGAGACAAAGTGAAAAATGAATTTTGTAGTTCAGGATGAGACGGGAAAGACTTCAGAGAGGAAGAGAAAGGAGAAAACACTGGAGGAACTTAAAGGAGGGGGTAAGAGAGAATAGAAAACAAGGGTTTAATAGTTAATGCAGGAGTCATGTTGGAGAATCCAGCAGTCCTGTTTGTTGAGCTGCAGGAAAGTAAAACCTCGTTTCTTTCAGCTCTACGTGAAAACAGCGTTGTTAGCTGAACGCAGCAGCTCTGGTTTCCAGTTTCTCACACACCTATTGCTGATGGCTTATGATAAAACCTGATGGATTTATAGATGAAGCCTCTTTTTATGACAGCAACGGGAAATCTGACCCGAATTCTTTGCTTCTTCATGACTTAAAGCGAACATGCAGGTGCATTTCGCTTTCGTCACATTATGAGCCTGCAGCTCACTGCAAGAACATTCAGTCCTGATGGAGATTCCAGTATCTTAAATAAACAACTAAAGAAGTAGTTATTGTTCAGAGTCAGTAAATCCTTAATATTGGTGAAAAAGAACCTGTTCAATTGGCAAATTATTTCACTGAATATATAGAAAAAATGTCTTATTAGTGAAATAATCTGAAACTAAAACTTTTTCATCAATATTAATGTTGCTGAAAGTAACTTGCAAGTTAGTGAAATACATTGAAAACCTCCTGGTTTTTCCACCAAATATGAATATATGATCTCTTAAAACATTAGTATTGTTGTTTCTAAATGAATATGAACTTGTTTGGGGTTTCATTATTTTTCTGTAAATAAATACAAAACAAATTTTGCTTGTAATTTCAGAGACATGTGGAATAAAGAACAATGTTCATTTTACTCAAACATAAATCAGTTCAGTGATCTCTTCACTTTTTGAACTAAAAACTAAACCAAAAGTACTTAGATTTTTTTCCCTCTTTCTGAAATTAAAGCAGACGTAACATTTTTGTTTTAAAACGTTTGTTTTAGTGATTTGCTCCTCTTTGTTCAGCTGCCACTGGATGCGACAGAAGGAGTGAGATTGTAATGTTTGTGACGCAGTAAATGAGCCGTCGCTGACAGCAGAAGGATCACAGTGTGACCCCTGATCCATCCGTGGATCAGGGGTCACACTGTGATCCTCATCTGGGATAACAGGAAGCGCATGCTGCAGGCTGGTGATGCTAAGTTAACAGACAAAAGGCTGAACACAAACCTGCATGGATTGTGTTTAATATCTGGATAAAGGCGGCGCAGAGCCGATTTCCACTGCTTCAAAAATGCACCGTCATCTTTTGTTTGGTGTTAAAAGTTTCCACCAAGCAAAAGAGCAGGATTATCTCATTTCCTTTTGGAAAGGGTGGACCAGGGTTTCCTGTGCTTAAAGGGGGCAAGAAAAGATCGAAAGTCCCTCACCTGGTGGGAAACACAATGTGGAGCATTTCTAGAGAGTTGGTGCTCACACATTTTTATTTACCTGTTTTGCTAATAGCGGTGCATCGTTTAGTACATTAAATTTTCCATATCAATTGTGAAGTTATTTATATTTACATATTGAGGCTCTTATTTTGAAGTGTTCTGTTTCCTCTTTATTTCAAACTTAAAGGAACCAAATAAAACAGACTGTAGAAAACATATTGTATAAACATTTATACAATATCTAATATAATCTTAAAGCTAGCGCTTTAGCATTAGCATAACGTATGTTTCATATTTGTGCTTTAGCTTAATGGAGCTAACTTTTACTATGACAAAAACTAAAACATTCAAAGCAACAATGCTTGTGTTGAACTATTCAGAATTTTCTACGTTTAGCTCCTAATTATAAGCTGCTGGTGTTTCCAGTTTGAGGTGATGAATGGCTCTTCCTGGAACACGAGGCAGCTTATTACATTATAAGAGCAGATGATTTATGGAAAATAGCATGTGAAAACAGCCTGCTTGTGTACAGTGGCTTTAATAGTCCTGGGCTGTGAAAGACAAGACGCGGCACGCAGCGATGCCGATGCAAGCTGCAGCTGCCGACTCGTTTCTCCTCTCATCACGTTTCACCTTTGAAAACATGGAGGGTCATCCTGTCATCTGGGCAGAAAGTTGATTCACAACTAATTCCAGTCAAATCTTAGAAGAACAGCTTGTTATTTTTGAAAAGTTGGTGACTTTCTGAACTACAGCTCAGCTGTCGCCAGCCTGCGTTGTGACAGGAAGTGCTGCGACGGCGACCTCCATGAAATAAATCTAGAGAAAATACATGAATTTGAAATGTGACAAACATGGTGCTGCTCTGGGGAATTCCTCACAAAGCCGTTAATTTTGGTGCTGCAGCAGCATTAATCCACTCTGAACACGTCCAGGTTTTATCATGTTGCAACCACAAATTAAATATTTGATACACGCCTTTTTATTTTAGTCTTTATTCTCACTTCAATAGTGAGGTAAATATCAGTCAAGTTGATTTGTAAAGCAGGTTTCAGCGGTTTAAAGTGCTTTACATGATAAAAAACACAAAAATCAACAACTCAAAACATTACAATTTGCTGAATGCAGCTATTACACATCAACATTTTAAAATAAATAAAAGCATATTTAGATTTAGTTTTTCTTCTAAGTCCATATTTGTGGGATAAACACACTTTTTAGTAAAAATATCAAAGATTGCAAATTTTTTGACAACCACCTACACTAAAAACATTTTATTTTTGTTTAGTTTCTATTGCAAATATTTTTGTACACTTAAAATAAAACAAAACTAACTTACAAGTTACTTTTCAGCAAGTTATATTTGCTTGTTTTAAGTCATTAATTCTAGTTCAATTATTTCTTTTATAACAAAACAGTTTTGCCTTTTTAAAAGTGAAATAATCTACTAATAAATCTAGCAGTTTTTTATCCATATTAAGAATTTACTTAAAACAAGTGAATATATCTTGCTGGAAAGTTACTTCTAAGTTAGTTTTGTCTCATTATTAGACAAATATTTTGTGTTTTTTCAGTGTAGGAATTATGCTCAATTTTGTGTTCTTTATTTTTTCACTGATTAAATGTGAAAAGGTTGAAAGAGTGAAGTTTTTCTTTCCTGCATAAGAAGCTAATCTCTCTCTTCTTTCTCTGCTTTGTGTGGGTGGTGCTTGTTATCCTCAAGAAATGCTTCTTTTGAGTCATAAATATTTGAAAGTCAGCCAAAAATCTCCTCCATCTGTTATTCCGTCTTCCTCAGGAACATTTAAAACCTACAGCAGGTAGGATGTTTTCCTTACGCTGAAAGGAAAACATCTTGTGGCGAGTTTTTCTGTTTCTCCATCAGTCCAGAGCAGCTTTGGGCGACAACGCCTCTGATTCTGCTTCCCTTGTTTCCTCCAGTATTCAGCGGGCCGCCCTGGCCATCATAGAGCACTACTACTGCGACTTCCCCATCCACAACCCGGCTCTGCTTTCCGCCTCCAAGTCCGGGCGGCCAAGCATCTGGCCGGCCTCAAGGTCTACAACGTGGACGGTGAGCTTCCTGCATGTCTGCTGTGGATTTGGGCTTTTTCTAATACTCATCAGTGTCAAACTCAAGGCCAGTGGGCCAAATCTGGCCCGCTAGGAGGTTTTATGTGGCCCAGAGGGACATAGAAACAGAACCTTGAATGATTAAATCCTATTTTATCAATTAAATGAATTAGAGCCACAGAAAAAGCTGCAAGTTTTTATTATTTTTCCACATAATTTTCACTTTTTTCTCAGAATGTACCAGAAGTATTTTGACTTTAACTTTATAAGATCAAAATTCTGAGGAAAAAAAGTCAAAATTTTGAGAAAAAAGACAAAATTGTGAGAAAGAAATCTGAGGAAATGAGTAAAAATTATGAGAATAAAAAGTCAAACGTCTCCCTCTCGACTCTAAAGACACATAAATAGAACCGCCAAGATAGCAACATGTTTAAATATTATTTTATCACTCAATTCAAAGCTGTTTTTATCTGTTTTTGCTGCCAAATTACATCAATCAGCTCCTCCAGTTTCTTGTGAATTATTAAGGTGGCAATATTTCTACTGAACAGCTTCCTCTGCCTCACTTTACATCAAATGATAAAAAGTCACATTTACTATCATACATAAATATGTCTAAATTGCTACCACACACTTTTTTATACAGAAAATTAAATTACGAAAACAACCGTGAAATCCTGGAGTGACTGAGAATATGTCCAGTATCATTTAATTGAAAATTAATTTATATTTTAATTGTTTTATCAATACATTCTGGCCCTTTAAGAACATTCATGATCTTGAGTTGACGCCTCTGCTTTATTTTTTAACACATTTATGCTGTTTTCTTCCCTCAGTAACAACTCCCACGTTGAACAGTGTTGCTGGGATCTTCTGTGATAAACTCAGTTTTTGACAAAATAAAAAATATATATTAACGATCGCCTTTTCAACCCAGCAGCTTATTAACTCATTACAGGACATTTGATGCTGGAAGGCAGAAATTGATCTCTTACTGCAACATAATTGTAAAATTGTGGACAGTTGCATGAAGCCCGGATGATTTGTAGTTAATGTGAAAAACTGCCAGCAGGCTGAGTTGATCTCCTTCATAATGACTTTATTTCTCCTCATTTGCCCCGACGCTAACCCCTTTGAGACGTCTTTGAGGCTAGACTGAAAGCCTACCTGTGGGACAGTAAGTATGTGAAGATGTTTCTGCTGCTGATTCGAGTCACTGGCTAAAACACACAGTTCTCTTCTGTCTGCATGCCACAAGTTGTGGGAAAAGTTTCACGCTGGTGTCAGCTGGCAGGAATGTAACACAACCCCTCGATTAAATTGTTGAGTGCTCAAGATTCATTCAGGCGCTTACTTTAGTCGCTCAAGTTAGCCGTTTGTCTTCCACCTTAAGTCACGAGCTGGATCGTTCCTCCCCGGAGTGTCGCTGTTCTTCATTTTATTGTGCAGCAGCTGCTCAGAGGCTTCCTCTGCTTCTCTTTCTGCTGCGTTTTGAGAGAGACCATAATCTCTGCTTGATTAAATGTAGTTTCTAAGCACCCGAGAGACTTTAAGTGATTTTTACAATGTCTGACGAGCTTTTTCTTTGACTTCTCTTCAAGTCTGTTGATTTCTGCTGATTTCAGGTCCGGGGAACAACGCCTCAGCGGGAATCGCGCAGTCCCAGTCCAGAGCCATGATCGCGGCTGCAGCTCGGCGCCGAGACACCAGCCACAACGAGCTCTACTACGAAGAGGCCGAGCACGAGAGGCGCGTCCGCAAACGCAGAGCGCGGTGAGTTTGGAAGCCATGGAAATTTAAGTTATGCGTCAAAAATGAAGGAAGAAAACATATTTTCTCTCATCTTTCTGTCTGAAATTTAATGCAGGTATATTTATATAGCTTAGGGTTTTAAATACCTGATTTGAATCAGAGGAAAAGTGCGGCCTCATTTGTTTGCTGTGCTTCCTCCCAGACTGGTGGTGGCAGTAGAGGAGGCCTTCACCCACATCAAGCGCATGCAGGAGGAGGAGCCGAAGAAGGCCCCGGGGGACGTGATGGACCCCCGAGAGGCGGCTCAGGCCATCTTCCCCTCCATGGCGCGCGCCTTGCAGAAGTACCTGAGGACCACCAAGCAGCAGCACTGCCACAGCATGGAGAGCATCCAGCAGCACCTGGCCTTCTGCATCACCAACAACCTGACGCCGAAGGTCAGCGCCTGAGGTTCTGAGGGTCCAATCAGGAATAGACATCACTGCATCATGCATCACACTGGCAGGGAAATTACACAAAGAATCTAAAGAAAGGATGCAATGTTGTGTTTTAAGTTTTCAGGCTTGATGTTTATTTTTTAATCATTAATAAGTGATTCTTGTGTTAGATTAGCTACCGATGCTATTATCTAACTAACCTATCGGAGCGGTTAGCTAACTGAAGCTCCTGCTCTACTGACGATCTGTCACAGTTGGCGTCTTCAAGTTGCTTTATTTAATTTTCTAACTGAACTCAAACACAGAATTCAACAGCACATTTACATGTCAAGTTCTCAAAGTCAAGCTAGCTTAACTGAGCTACTTCCTTAACCCTCGCTATTTTTTTTTCTGAATTAAAACATTTTCTTGACCTTGTTATTTAGTTGCTGTAGTGTTGCCAATCAATAGCAAAACATTCTGTCCCTTTTTTATTTATAATTTAGCGCGTTTTATGGCTAGCAGCTAGTTATCGTCAGATAACAGCTGATGCATCCAGTCAGTATCAATGTTTTCATTGCTCCTGCTTTGTGCCGTTTTCCATCCAGGCGTTCCTGGAGAGCTACCTGTCGCCGGGGCCCACCCTGCAGTACGGTAAGGACCACTGGCTGGGCCGCCGCTGGACGCTGATCAGCGAGGCGTCGGTCACCAGCGGCCTGAAGGACGGAAGCGTCTTCTTACTCAAGTGTGTGGACTTCAGCCTGGTGGTGACGGCCAGGAAGATCCCTTACGTCCAGATGTCGGAGGAATACATCGACCCCAAATCTCACAAGTTTGTCCTGCGACTACAGTCTGAAACCTCGGTTTAGGACAACAGCTACTTTTCAGTTGTGTTTTTTATTCCTCACCATGTCAAATTGCTTTCAAATGTTGCTAATTAGGGTTTGAAGTTTTTTATATGTACTTTTCTTTGTTTTTAATATATATATAAAAATGAATTTATATATCACATGTCTGAAATTAATGCTATCTTAATGTTTGACTTGGTGAAAAGAAGAATTGTTGCAGGATTTCGTTCACGGGTTTGATCGAGATTAGGTTGTGCACAATACTGTATGTATGATTATACGGTCCCTTTCAATCGTATTAAAGGGGCAGTATGATGTATTTCCAGGAACATGGAACCATTTTATAGCACAATCAGGCAACAATGTCTCCTTTGGTTGTTGTAAAAATGCTTTACATATCAAATATGTTGTAAGAGAAGTTGGACTTTGTAATTTAACTCTTAGAAATTGGGCATCTGTATCTTTAAGAAGCTACTGGTGTTTCTGAAATTCCGCCTTCAGGAAGTCATCACAACATTTCTCCTTTATTAACCCTTTAGAAGCGTTTTCATCAGCATTTTCGCTGAGAAGTGGCTCCAATAAAGAGCTCAGCAGTTTCACCAGATGTTTGCTAACTGCTGCTGGCTAGTCTGAAGGAGCTGAGTGGGGGAGGAGCTTTGCATTGAAGGCGGAGCTAGGTCCAACCAGACGTTTTGCACAGCTGCATGGTTACCATGCAGATTTTAGGATTTCTGCATGAAATTGTTATGAGAAAATAACATCATGACATGATGTAAGGCTAGGAAAAGTTTATTTTACATGATACTGCCCCTTTAACTTTTTCATATTGCAGCTGCAAACTTGGGATTTTATTTGACAAACCAACATAAATAGGGCACAAATGGAAACTCATACAGATATTTAATTCTGAAAAATAGACACCTAAAACAGAGGATCAGTAAAAGGGGCTGAAAATAAAAGCACACCACACTTTTCAGATTTTTCTCTTTTAAAAATCTTAATGTTTTCCTTTCTGTTCACAGTCATGTCCTCCTTCATTTGGTTACCACATAAAATCCTAGTTAATGTAAACGTTTGCGGCACCTTTTGTCATGTTTGATGTTTCTTTGTTCAGAAACCGAAACCAAACGAGTCTGAAAAAATTCACTGCAAAGTTCCCAGCAGAGACTCAGAACTGAAAAACAGTCTTAAACAGTTTCGGATTTGATCTGCAGTTTTCCAGGTTCATCATCATCATCATCGGCGGCGGCGGTTTGGTTAACCAGGAAGTCAAAACGAACTGGCGCCCAAAGACATGAACTCTTCCACAAAGGTTCAGTGAACCTCTCAGGGCTTTTGTGTCTGCCGCATCGAGCTGCGAGTTCTGAAATCAAAAAATAACTACTGATTTCTGAGAGCGTCACGTAGCAGCACGTTCTGTCAATTCTACATCTGCTTTGCCCCTTCCACGAAAAAGTTTCCAGACTTTAAATGACAGATCTTCATATTTTTTACACATTAAAAGCGGTTTTATAAAGAACTGGTTTCTATTGTGAATGAAAACTGGGGCAAAACCGAGCAGCCTTCTTGCTCCTGTAACGTTTTGTCCAGTTAAAACTACAAACCAGAACATTTTATTGGGATTTGCTGTGATAAACAACAGCATCTGAAAAGTGTGGCATGCACTTATTTTCCACACCCTCACCCTTATCCTTCCACAAACTGAAAGTTTTGCACATTCTGATTTGGAGATTAGCTCAGTTTTCAATGGAGAGCTTCAGTTTGAGTCATTCTGGACTTTGACTGAGCCATTCCAACAAAATTATGAATTTAATCCCAGAATTTTTCTTTTTTTTTCTCAAAATTTTGAGTTTAATGTCAAAATTCTCATCATAATAAAATTCTAATGTTGGAAAACAAATTCAGGTTTTTCATCTATGAGATTAAAAACAAAAACAATACGCCACACTTTCCAGATTTAATTGTATTTTTGTTTTAACTCAGAGGTGCGATCACATTTCCACAGAGGTGAAAGGTTTTCATGCAACCTCTGAGCTCAGCAGTGATTTCTATGTCAGCGCTTCTTATCACTTCGTTGTATTGAAACAGGAATCGGCGGATCAGCAGGGTGGAACCGCCGTCCCAACTGGACCGTCTGGTTTTCCTTCTACCGCCTGGCGTCTCATGAACATCCAATCCTTCGAGGTCAGTCCCTTTAAGGAGGATTCAGGCAGATTTCTGCTTCTTCTTTTTTTTTTTTTTTTTTTTTATGATAACGAAATACTCCTATTTAAGCTAAAAATCCCTCCTGTTTGTCTTTCTGTGCCTGCTGCACTCTGCAAAGTGACACAAATCACAGAGGTCAGGAATCATTGTGGCCTCTACTGCCCCCTGGTGGTCACACCAGGATTGGCACGTGTGTATAAAGCTGAACAAAAACGAAACAAAATCTGTATGGTTTACCTTCTGATAGTAACATGACGGTGCCTCCTGTTTTTACACTGTATTTGTGTAAACACACACATCTGTGTGTAGGTGTGTGTGTCTCCTGCCTTTTTCGTTCCATCTGTCCCTCTGTTGCCTGGTTATGGCCCTTTCTGTCCACCGTCAGGCTTCTGACTATCAATTTTCAGGTATTTTTCGGTTGCACAACATTATTATTTGTAAAATAAAATAAATTGTAAAAGCAGAAGAAGAAATATTGATGATAATAAAACACTTTTTATGAGCATTTGTAAAACTGCTGTGATGCCGCTTGTTATTTAGGATTGCAGCTTCGCTTCCGCCAGTTTTATTTGATGTAGCTGGAAATTCAACATTTAAACTGTGTGTTGGGCTGTTTTGAACGACGTGTGGCAGAGTGGTGCTCGAATGTCCTGACCCCAAAAGGCCGCACCTTTTCATGAAGTCGATAGATAACAGAGGAAAAGGCCACAGCAGCAGATGACCTGACCGGCTGCCACTCCTATCAGCTGAGAACAGGAAACTGAGAATCTGTGACTATTTTTAAAGAGAAATTAACTAGATAAAATCAATTATTTTCTATTTTTATACTGGCTTTAAAAGTCGCATTGGTTGTTTTAACATCGGTGGCAGCAGAGTTCTGGAGAGCGTGACGTCACAGGCCATTGTTTAGCTAATCATTGTTTCCATACGGGTTTACTTCCTGTCTGGCTCGCCAACTCTCCGCCTGTCGTTGTTCGTTAACCATCGCGCTCCGCTGGGTGAGACGACTGGACCACACATCCTCTTTGTTTTTTTTCAGTGGTTTTCTCGTCGTCGTGGAGCGGCCCATCAGAGCCGCATGGCTAAGCGAATCTGGGCTCTGATTGGAGAATTTGCATCTAAATGGAAAGCTGCCTTCCCCTCGTTTCCGTCTCCCATCAGCTGGTTATGCGACGATTGAATCGAAACAGGAAAATCCGCCGGCTTTGGGTTGGAGCGAAAAGCGACTCCTCAATTCTTTTAATCCCCACAAACGTCAGATTTAGATTTTATGACCTCTGACCTCTGCCTCAGTTTCCTCTAGAGAGAGTGTGACATGTTTACTTGCCTTCTCAGAAATAGCCTCCTGTTTATCTCGCGTCATGATTCTTGAGTAGCTTTGCATCTTTTATTCATGTGGAGATTTTTATTTATTTTATCTGTGGCTCTCATGAAGTTTTCGGCCCCCGGGGGCCTCAGAGTCCAGGTGTCCACCACCATTAAAGGGCTGAATTATTTACCACTGTTTGAATAATTCAGCATGAAAATGTTCACTGAAAGAGGAAGAGATTCATTTTGCTTCGATTAGGACTAATCTGTGTGTTTGAAAAACGACAAACACACTTCAGAAATTATTTTATGTGCTTGACAAATACAATGTAAAGTACAGGGAGGGGGGAAATCTGAAAAGTGTGGCATGCACTTCAATTAAGCCCTTGTTAGCTAACATTGGATAAAATATTGTTTCTTCATTATTTCAGCATAATCTTGTCACAGGTTCTTAATTGATCCAAAACTATTTAAACATAGAAATAAGTCAGAAGATGTTAATCTGAGTTTCAGTGCTAATAGCTAACTCAGGAGTAGCTTAAGAGTTAACTAAACGTTCATTTGTGGTTTTAGAGCTAACAAATGAACGTTAGCTCATCAAGAAAATAGAAGGGTTTTTTTTTTTGGTCGTTTCCAAGGAACTATTAAGAGTTTCATCTGATTGTAGTCGATTGATTAATGATGATTTGTGAAACAGATTGGGTGTTTCGGTTTTTACTTACGGGAATCAGACTAAATGGGGCTCAATTTGAAGTGTTTCTGCTAGGTGGTATAAATTCATCAAATCTCCTTCATTTAAGAATGACATTTATTGGTTAGATAATAAAATACACAGGCTCTGTATCATCATTTCTTTTATTCTTCTAAAACTCGTTTTCATTTGTTGCACCATTTTTCTCCTCTAAGTTGCAAAGAGGAATTAATCAGAAGAAGAACTACATCTTCAGACGTCTACCATCTACATATTTAGTAAAGCCACTACCTTAAATGTTTCTTTAGCGATTGGACCCAAACTTTAACTCTTGCAGGCTAATAGTCTCCATCATCTCCGTCGTTCTCGTCGTCCGGGTTTCCTTCGCCGTCTTCTGTGGCGTAGATCTCGTCTTCCCGCTCGTCGGCGAATTCGTCGTCGTCTTCGGTGTTCACCCTGCCGGACAGGACGTCCTCGATCCAGTCCTCCAGGTCCTCCGCCGTGGGCAGGTCCTCGTCGTTGGACATGTCCAACCAAACGCTGTCCGCCTGCAACAGATTCCATACCGCCTTACTAAACGTCAACATTTTCAGTCGTTCTAATCGGCCGTTGCTTACGTCTGTGACGTTGACCACGCCGATCTGGGGCCTGAACAGATCCAACTTGAAGGTTTTTTCCCAGTAAGTGGTCAGCTGTAGGGACGACACACGTCAGGTTTGTTTTATTTCACGTACTTTAGGGTTTTTGTGGAGGAGAGGAAAAGTGATGGTGAGGCAGAACCAGAGGGAAGTTGTCGGGATCGATCCAGACGATACTCAGATTCGGGTTATTGGTGTTCTCTCTCGCCACGTCTTTCAGGATCTCCAGGAACTCGTAACCATCTGAAGAAATGAATCTCATGTTGCAAGGACAAAGATACACAACTGCTAAAAACATTTACTAAAATATTTCAGGGAAAATACACAAACTTTGCCTCACTGTGGAGGAATTTTGTTTCACTCTTCATTGCAGAAATGTTTTAATTGGTCCATATTAGATGATTTTTAAAACGTAACTGGCATGTTTAGGATTCTTGTGTTGCAAATAAGTTTGGACTTTGATGAGTCCCGAAGCCTTAAAAATTCCTTTGTAATGTGATTCCAAAAAACATAATTTCACAATTGTAGTGTTTTTATAAAATACAAAACATAATTTAAATCACCTTTTTTTCACACAATAAGTAATTAAAAACACGATGCGCCGTGATTATTACAACCGTTTCCTGTTCTCTTCTTCATCGTTTCTGCCAGTAGTAACATGCCGTTGTTCATCACATTACACAAACAAAGTATTTCCTGTGCAGTTTTCCAAATTACACAAATTTTGATACAGATGACATCAAAAAAACTATTTTAAAATTGGTGTTTTCATTAAGCAAAGATATCATCGTAATTTAAATTGATGAAATCATTTGGTCGAAGGAAACATAGCTACCAGGGATTGATACTTTTTCCCACAACCCTGTGCAGTTTGAATCGATACAAATCTTTGAATAGATGAATACGGACCTGGATCTTCCTCCTCAGCGAAGGCAACAATATGTATCCCATCCATATCGTCCTCCTAGAGAACAGAAGTAAAAAATCAACTGAGGTTCCTAGAATTGAAAAGAAAGTTACTCTAAATACCAAACGTTTCATTGCTCACCCAGATCTCAAACATATTCTCTGCCCGCAGCTTCCTCAGTGTAGCCCTGCAGCGATAACACTCAGTCACGCTTCACTTCATCTGAACTCTGACCTCTGCAGAACTTACCTCCTGTGTTGGTTGACAAACTCAACGATGTCCAGTTCAGACAGAGGTCTGCCGGGCAAGATGGCGGGCTCCTCCATGAACGGCTCGTAGAAATTCACTTCATTCATCTTTAGGGAGAGATGTTTGGCAACCTAGAGCAACGTAATGCTGTCGATGTAAAACCACGAGAAGTTCTTCTGATGCGCATATAATATGTTAAAGGTCAATAATGTCTTTTTATTCAGGGTCATCCTACTGTAAAAACAATATTTACTCTGTTCTGCTGTATTTTCTGTTTACTCTTGCTATTTTGTCTCAGTTTTAATTTGTAAATCTGAAACATTTCATTGCAACAAAAAAAATCTGATCAAACAATTAATTGTAAAACTTCACAGATGGAAAAAAAGGCAGTTATTACTTACAGATTTATCGAATGTTGCAAAGAACTTGATGTAAGGTTGAAATCTCTCTGACGCTTCCTGGAAAGCTTTGTAGTCTGACAAAACAAGTAACAGAAATATTAACGAGATAAGAATAAATAATAGAAGCACAATTAAAAGAAGAAAGTAGCAGACCGCTTCATCTTTGCTCAGTTTTCTAAATTTGGGGATTTAAGAAAAATCTGTGCCGGGATAATTTCTCTCTCTTTTTTATTTTTTTTTCAATATAATTGCAGTTTGACCTACTTCATGAAAAGCTGGGTGCTATTAAAAGCGTCTCCTGAGTGTCTGGAATCAGGTTTCTCTCTAACAGGCGTCATGGTGATGTAGCATCATTAGCCTCTGGGTCCCATTAGCATCTCAGAGGCACCAATGAGACTTTTTTTAACCCATTCAAGCTGCAGGATGTCACTTTTATACAAAATATAAAAAAATATAAATATCTTGATTAAATCTGCCACCATTTAAAGTACCCAAAAATTGTACTAGCAGTACTTCAACGTGTAAAGTTAGAGTAGAAATATTTCATCAAAAAATTACTCAGAAGGAAAACGTACAACATAGTAAAAATACTACCAGGAGTTATTGTTTCCATTAAAGTTACTCAAGTTAATGTAACATAAAAAAATCAAGCTCCTCCTCTTCCTCCCAGTGCTAACTAGAAACAACCAACCAGAAGTAGGAGGCGGGTCTTAGCGCTGTCACTCATGCTCGTGTGCGTGCCAGTCCTGTTGTGAATGCTAAGACTAATTAGGATAACAGTTTTCCTGTTGTTTCTCCACCATTAACACATTTAACAAAATGTTGATTGGCAGCATTAAGCCCCGCCTCCTAGCTCTGATTGGTTGTTTTTCATCATAACATGGTGACAGTTTGAACTAGTAAAAGTTACACGCTGCAGCTTTGAAGACGTCATTTAAAAGGTGAACTATCTCAGAGTTTGGACGGACTGACGTGAGTCCTCTCCTCTGAAGTAGCCGATGAGGCGGATGTCCTCCTCCATCCTCTCGAAGGCCCGCAGCTCCATGGCGCTGTTGATGATCTCCACCGGGTCCTCCAGAACCTTTAAGCAAAACGTGACAGTTTTCAGTCCAAATGTGGTCTGAATACTCAACATGGTGGTGGCAGCATCATGATGCCAGATTCTGTTCTGGAGCCCAATTAAGAAATAGCATCAATTCCTGAAAATCCAACAGTTATTTACGTGTTTATGCTTATAATATCCCAATGAAACAAAGTTTTGTTTTTATGGAAGACCAAACTTTGGACTAATCGTGAGATAAATGCCGTATTTTCCCACTTACATCCAATAGAAACTCCACTAAGGTGTCTGCTGAAAGCTCCCCGTCGAACTCGATGACGCGGTCATCCTTAAACACATAAACACTTCCCACTTCCTGCAGACCTGATGGGGACCAGAGGGATTATTTCGCCACATAATCAATGATAATCATTATCGTCAGTGTCAGATGCTAAGCCGTACCCAGTTTGTTTGCTACTTTGGCGTCTTTGTGGGAGTCCACCATTCCAAAACCGATGTCTTTATTCTCCAGGACTTGAGCTGTGAGCTGGAGAGTCGGATCAAAACCAAGAAATCGGCAAATAAATGAGATGGAAATATCTGCATTTCAAACCAGAGTTAAGATCCTGTCTCTTTATGCTGTTATGCTCATTTTGGAAATCTGGAGGTAGAAGTTGGAACGTTATATGAAAAGTAAAACCTCAAAATCCAAGATGGCTGGCAAAGTTAGCTGCAGCTATAAACGTGTCACAAATTTTACTCAAGTAAAAGTAAAAATGCAAGAACCATTCGGACTCAGGTAAGATTAGAAAAGTGTTTGGTAAAAAGTTTGCTGAAGTACAGCAAATTTTCATTTTATATTTAAAAATTACATCATCAGAAGTGGAAATTTTTGGATTTTAAGATAAAAAAAAATGGTAATAACTCATAAGTAACAAAAATAAAATCAGGCAAAAGAAAACTTTTCCAAATCAATAAAAATCTCATTAAACTTTACCCAAAGGTTTGAAAGCTATTATGCTAATAGGTTAGCAATGCTAATGCTAGTGATATCACTGAGATCAGACGTGTTTTAGACTAAATTAGTTGAACCAGCCTGATGAAAAAGAAAGCTGGTTCTGTTTTGGCTCTGCTAATCTGGAGATAATTACACAAAGAAGGATTCTTCATAAAATCAAGAACGTTTTAGGCATCAATTCCCAAAGAACTCAGAAAGTCATCAGTCGGAGGCTTCTTTAGAGCCGCTGGATGACAGGCTGCTACAGGATTTCTTTTGGGATGAATAAAGAAAACTAAAATCTACAAACAACTTAGATTGTTTATCTTAATGTTTTATTTTAATCATGAGAATTTGTGAATTTTCAAATGGTTTTAAGAACAATTATAATTAACAAATTGACCCAGAAACAACAACTGAATGCGTTCAGTCCACCAGAGATCACATTATGTGTTTAAGTAAAAAAAAAAAGAAAAAACATGTAGTGAATTAATAAAGTTGACAATATGAAAACAATTTCTTCAGGTTACACTGAAGCAGACAAACACAAGAATAAAGTCAAATTTTGATTCAGCTGTTTTTGCTGAACCAAAATGTGAATAAATCACATCTAGTCCTGTCACAATAATTATAAATAAAACAGTGAATGAGATGAATCCTGACCTCCAGCACCAGCTCCGTCATCTGGAAGCGTTTCTGCAGGCCCTTGTTGTTGGGCACCGGCTCGTGGAAGAACAGGCACAGCAGGTCGTACCTCTTCAGGGCCTTCTTGTAGTTGCGCTCGTTAATGTCCAGAACCCTGTCCTTTCCGTCAAAGTTGGGGAACTCCAGACCTTCCTCAGCCCTGCAGTGCAGAACCAGTGGGAGGCTGAGGCCGGACCAAAGAACGGCCAGCAGGATGTGCTTCATTGCTGGACGACGTTTGGTTAAATAAAAACAGTTAATATTTTCACTTCTCTGTTGCTCCAGCTCTTCTTCTCTTTTCGTCCTCTGTCTCCTCCTCTTCCTCGCCTCATTCCAGTCCAGATCTCAGGAGGATTTCCTTTTCCCCATCCTCACTAGAAAGCTGATTGGACTGAACTCATTTACAAAAGATTCACCTGACATACATATTGCGTTAATAATTTGACAGTGATGTTCTCATACATTTAACAGAAGAAAAACATGTATCAACATTTATCAGGATTCCTGATTGTGAAGTTAACAAGACTATTTTATGGAAGAACGGTAAAAATAAACAAGAGAAAACCTTTAAATTTGTTTATTTAATGATTGTGTGATTGAATAATAATAGATTGTATTTATATCTTTAGATCAATTCAAAGGATTTAATGGATTAAAAATAAATCAAAGCTAAAATAAATGTCTTCATAATGTATTTCTTTTATTTTGTCACTTCTGACCCTCCATATCCATGGCGCAGTGAAAAATGCGGGTATGTCCCTTTAACGCGTCCTTCTTCCGGTGCGCGTTACCATGGTGACCGTGCTCAAGCAGCGCTAACAGAGCGCAGATCGCTGCTTTGTTCGGGAGCTGGAGGACAGCGCGATATGGAGCGCTGCTGTCTTTGGCTCTTTCTGTTGCTGCTTCATGTTCGTGGCTTCTGTTCGGCCGGTAAGACGGATTTAAGGTTTCCCTAAAGAGTCAAAAGGTTTTTACGGTCTCGCTTAATCTCGTTGCGGCGCCTCGCGATAACTTTTGATGACGGAGTCATCGATCGGTTAGCATAGCAGCTAGCTGGCTGGAAGCTAGCTGTGGGAGCAACTTTGTTGCTAAGTTTGCTGCAAGTATTTACACTGTTAATTAATATTAATTAACCTGTATTGCTTTGTGGCGTTTATTTAAGATGTGGGAAGCTTCTGAATACATTTAATACATTGAGATCTCTCGATTTTAAGTTACTTTTCATTCAAACTATTTATTTTGGTCTAGAAAAGGAGTTAGCATCTTTAAATGTTTTTACATGTAGAATAATTAGAGTTTCTATATCTACTATTAACATATATTATCTGTGCTTCTCTTTGTCTCTGCTCATATTTATCTCTTGAAACCAGTTCAAAGTGTAGAAATGATCAATATTAGCATATCTTTAAATATTGTAATGTTTTATAGCATGTGGTTGACTGAGGGAAACAAGAATACAAAAGTTCAAGAGGAAACTGACAACATTCTGTATTTTATTTATTATTTTTTAGATAACACGTGGAAGGAAATACAGCAAAAGATCTCAGAAGCTGTCAAAGGATACACAACATGCAACCCTGTTAACTGCAGCTGCCATCTTGAGTGAGTAACATCAATTGAATGTATTTATAAATAAGGGAAATATATATAATATGTGGTGTGTTTTCTTCTTTTTTTATTCTCCTAACTTGTATCTCAGTGTCCTCCATCATGACCTGAAACCCTTTGAAAGGGGAATCTCCCAGAATGTCATGGAAACCACGGTTCTTAAAGGTGTGGGCACCCACTACCAGGTCATCGAACACAAGCTGTACCGAGAGCACAACTGCATGTTCCCTGCAAGGTGCATGAAAAGCGTCTTTATTTACATAAATACTGTGTTTTAGGGTTTTACTAAGGTGAAAACTTGCCTAAATGTGGTTTCCTGTGTTCTGCAGGTGCAGTGGAGTGGAGCATTTCATCCTGGAGGTTGTGAACAGGCTGCCTGACGTGGAGATGGTGGTGAATGTGAGAGATTACCCTCAGGTGCCCAACTGGGTGCAACCGATTCTGCCCGTCTTCTCGTTCAGTAAGGTCAGTGTCTCACCAGTGTTTGTCGTTTGAAGAGGCTGAAGCGTTTGTGAATTAAACATGTTTTGTTTTTAGACGCCAGACTATCTGGACATCATGTATCCGGCGTGGACGTTTTGGGAAGGCGGGCCCGCCGTGTGGCCCATATACCCCACCGGACTGGGCAGATGGGATCTGATGAGAGATGAGCTGAAAAAGTAGGAATAAACACTTTTCATTTTGACTATTAGACTTAATATGAAGATTGTTTTGTTAGACTAATAAAATTACATAAAGCGACTTTGCAAATGCATTTTTACTCTTAGACCTGTTCAAGATTCTAAATATACAAAAAACTCAAAACTATTTTGGGCAAAAAAAAGAGTAAAAAGTCTTTGGAGTCCTGCTGAAATGATAAAAGGTAAAAATATCCTGGTGCGTTTATTAAGTCATTCACACAACATTCACTCATTTATTCATGATCATTGATCATTTTTGTTTTTCTGCCTAAAACTGGATGATAAAAGTCTTCAATCTGCTGCTTTGCTCTCAACTAGACCATTTTTTTAAAGGGCAATTTTGTTTACAACAATTTTAATTTATTTTATGTTTTGTTTTGTTTCTTTATTTTGGATATTTAAATATTGTCCAGTTTCAGAGTTAAATGTTGATTAGAATTTAAAGTTTATTGATCTTTGACTCTGCATTCTTTCGTTGTTATGACATTATCTTACTTAAAAACGGTCTCAGAACAACAACTTAAAAAACTTCTGGGACAATTTATCACAAGCAAAATCAAAGTCTTCATATCAGGTCTATTGACATTCATTTTCGTGCCTCATCTATGTAAAATACATTAAATATAAATTATATTTAATTTATTTTAAGTTGCTTGAGATCGGTTGTCTCAAATCGACCACTAGGTGTCAGTAATGTCCTTATTAAAACAGCTTCAGAATGATTCTGGTGTTTTTGGAAGCAAACTGTATTTGTTCATTTTCCTGAGATGTGACATGAAAAGTGTTTGTGATCTTCAGATCTGCAGCTCAGTGGCCTTGGAAGAAGAAAGAGACCAGAGGATTCTTCAGAGGCTCCAGGTGAGAAATATTTGGTTTTCCATCGACGATGCTTCATGGTTTTTGCAGGATGTTACATTTAAATCATGTTTGAATGAATCCAGAACAGTTTTGTTTTTGTTTTTATAAAATAAAATCCAGTGAAGTTTCAACATAGAAAGAAAAGTCATCCTGTGTTTTGTTTTTTTCCTTTCTGCAGAACCAGCGCTGAGCGCGACCGCTCATCCTCCTGTCCAGAGAAGCTCCAGATCTGGTGGATGCAGAGTACACCAAGAACCAGGCCTGGAGATCCGAAAAGGTCCGACACGCAGCCACTCCGAACCCGACGCGTCTGCGTTAAGATCTGCTGTTCACCCTTTAATTGTTTCTCTTTCAGGACACACTCGGCAGACCTCCAGCTAAAGAAATCCCTCTGGTCGATCACTGTAAATACAAGTAAGCATCTTCTTTTAAGAGAATAAATGGTATCATAAGTAATTTAGTTCTCTGAATGGACGGTTTGGTGTTTTCTGCTAGATATTTATTTAACTTCCGGGGTGTGGCGGCGAGTTTCCGCCTCAAACATCTCTTCCTCTGCGGCTCGTTGGTGTTTCACGTGGGCGACGAGTGGCAGGAGTTTTTCTACCCGCAGCTCAAACCCTGGGTCCACTTTGTCCCCGTCAAACAGGACTATCTGATGTCAGGTACCTCGTTATTTTGTGGATATTGATGGGAAAAGAGACACAAATACAGTGAAACTCCCTTTAATAGCGATGTCATATCCTGTGTCTACAGAGAGCTTCTTCAGTTTGTCAAAGAAAACGATTCCGTCGCACAAGAGATCGCTTCCAGGTAACCGCAAATGTTTAATAGTTAATGTGGGTCTAATTAAAGAAATGAAAATATTGAGCACCTTTTGTCCTCTCAGAGGTCAGGAGTTCATCCTGAACCACCTTCAAATGGGAGAAATTACGTGTTACTGGGAAAACTGCTGACCGAGTTCAGCCAGCTGCTCACCTACAAACCCAAACTGAGGAGCAACTACAAACACATTGTCCAGAAATTCATCAAAACGGAGCTTTAAACTCTGATACGAAGGAGAATCAACAATTATGAATGTATTTTCTGTGGTACGAAGTTTTTATTTTATTTTTATTTGTGTTGATTTTCATTTTTAGGGGGCAAAATCATGGTTCTAAACTTGGTCCAGATCTTTCAAGTATGTTTAGACAGTTCCCTAAACGGCCACTGGAGGGCTCCACAGTATCTTTGAGGTCATTTTCTGTCCAAAATCAATACTTCTAGATATTTCAATCAAGTTTATTTGTGCAGCATATTTCTGGAACAACAGCCCAACACTTGTGTTAAAAACAAAAACACAGTTTAGGGACAAAGACAAACTGTAAACAGGAAATAGTTGATCTCAATGAGGTTCTGTCAGTGTTTAAGTCAAACAGTTTTCAGCATCATGCTGCCGCCACCAGGACTCACATTGTCCTGATCTTCAGTGTTACGTTTCTTTCTTGTGATCAAAAATATGTAAAGGTGGAAAAATGGAAGATTTCAGGCAGACTGTTGATATTTTAACAAATGAATGTAGCTGCTGCTGTTGGCAGGTTTTTACAACTTGAAGAATAGTGTTTCCTTTTACACAAAGTGCCAAAACATAGCAATAGTTTCCATTTCTATCTTTGGATAAAATTTGGCTTTTTTTAAAAACATATTTTATTTTTTTCTTTTTGATAATAAACAGTATCAGGGTTGGTGCTTACCAGGATTTTACAGAATATGTTGTAGTATTCGTACTGTCCTGTCAGCTAGACACACGCTGGGCTTTTTTAGTTTGTAAATTTGTTTCACATTGTAAAGATGCTCTGATCATCGTCTGAGAATAATCAGTGGTTGGTTTCAAAGTTTCTATCATTACAATAAAATGTGGAAAACAACTTTCAACATGAATTTGCTTCTTTTATTGATATATTTATATATATAGCTGTTTAGATTTTCTCAAAATCATTTTTTGCTGTTTATTTTTGGTTTTGTAGGTGAAATAAAATTTCAACCACTTGAAAATATATTTTTCTACCCTCTTTTTGAAAGTTGTATCATGGCTGTAAAACATTTTAAAGTGCTCCCCAGAGCTTTGAGTATTTGAAAATGAGGCAAATGGCTATTTTTTTTCTCATGATTTGTTTTAGTGAATAAACTCAATTGACATTATTTAAACAGGATATTGTAAACTATTTTCTGGGTTCCTTTGAAAAAACTCAATATCTTACAGAGTATTATCATCTAGATATCTTAATACACTTGAATTAAAAAAAAGTCACTCAAAGGTAACTTTTCAGAAAGATACAGGAGATTGTTTAAGTCAATTCCTTAATCTTTATGAGAAAAGTACTGGCAAATTATTGCCCTTATGGGAAAAATGTGGGAAAACTGGTGTTTTTCATGAATAAAATGGGATCATTTACAGAACGCAAGTTCCTATATCTTGCTTAAAGGTGAGTTTTGTTTGATTGCAAATTTATTAAGAAGGTTTAAGTAAAAACTAGACTAAACTCCTCCAATATTTTTAATTTTGGCAGCTTTCTCTCTCTGTAGGGCTTCGTTTAGCACTCCGGCCGCCAGGGGGCGCGTCTCTCCGGCCTCTGCACGTGTTCTGAGCCCGAGTCAGAGGTTATGTTGCTGCTGCAGCATTGAGCTTTCAGAAAGTCGATGTTTGGATGACCGTCAGAACGACTCATGTGAGAAGAGAAATACTGTCATTCATGTTTGTGTTTTCCGGACGTCTCCAGTAAATAAGACCCACATTTTGCTTCTAAATCCCTCCGCGGCGCATCTTAACCTTCATATATGAAGCTCACGGGAAGCTAGTGGAAGCTAATGGAAGCTAGCTTCTTTCACCGGTAGTTTAGCACCGCAATTGGCTAAATTATGTAAGTAACACAAAGGTAATAAATATACTGAAGCAAATGAGATTTAAAATATATTTAGAGTGAAGGTGGATTATTTTTCTTGATCCTAGCATTTTAATTTTATGTAGTGGTGGAATAGAAATATCATTTAATCTCCCAAATTGGGGAAATTCAAGTGTCCAGTAGTGAGTGAAGATGAAATAACAAAAGCATTTTCACACAAAAAAATTTCTATTAAAAAAAGTGAAAATTTCTGATCTTGAGAAGTTTAAAATTACCTTAAAAAACTCAAAAAAAATTAGATTAATCCCAAAACTTTTCTATTAAAAATAAACATTTCTGAAAGTGAAAATTGGAAAATTTGCTAGAAAAGAAATCTGAAAATTTCACATCAATCTTTAGAAATTGTTATAAAAGGCTTCAGAATTTCTGAAGTTGATAATTTGCTAGAAAAAAAACCCCTCAAAATTAATTAATCCCAGAAATGTTCTTGTAAAAACAGAAGTTGAAACTTTTCTAGAAAAAACTGACTTTGAGGTGAATCTCAGACATTTTGAGATAAAAATTGGGAAATTTCATAGTTTGAAGATTTGAACTATTTGAAGAAATTTAGTTTTTTTTCTAGAAAAATGTTGAAATAAGAAAAATGTTCCAATTTTTGATGATGAAATTTATTACCACAGAGCGGATTTTCTCACAACCTTATCAAAAACGTTAAACAATAAAATTGTTATTTATTTTACTGTTTACGATCTACTTTGTTTTTCTTGATGTTTTGAAGTTACAACCGCAAACCTTAATGAGTTTTTCTGGATTTTATGTGATAGAGAAACATAAAATAGCATATTTTAGGAGAAATGTGCAGCAGAGTGATGTTATTCTCGGTGTAAGCACACACTAAGGAGCAAATAATATTGAACCACAGAACTTTAACGCTTCATTATTAAGCACTAATCTCTAAAACATCCGTTTATTCTCCATTTCTGCCGCGAGGCTTAGATACATTTAAGATTTTCCATGATTTCTGCTGTCATTGAACTCGTTCTCGTTGCATAACTGAGTGTTTCTGGTTCTGCTGCAGCCAGAGAACGAGCCCCGTCCTGCTCAGACAGACTCCAGCCTCCGGGGCCCGATGAGCACCGGCCCGTTCCAGGGCTTCGTCCAGACCGCCATGCCTCGCTTCTTCTGCTTTCTGCTCCCCAGGGTGGATGCAGCTGATGTGGCTGCTGGGCAGATGCCCTCCTCTTCCTCCTCCTCTTCCTCCTCCTCTTCCTCCTCCTCCTCCACTAGTCCTGCAGTCGGCTCTCTGCCAAAGAACATCCGCAAGCCAGAATTTCCAGATTCGGGATGGCAGCGCATCAAGGACCTCTTTGATCGAGAGTCAGTCTCTTCTCACTCAGTTTGATTATTTTGATTCTCTGTTTATTATTAGTTAAATGGACAAAACTCTTATTGTCAATTAATAATTAATCATATCAGGGTTTTCAAAGAAGCATATGCAGAAAAACACAAAGAAACTTCTTCAGGATTATAACTTCTTTCAAAACTCACTCATCCTGATGCTCTATGCTGTACAAGTCACAGTTTTCCTTCCTTCATTCCTTGTTTCCTTGCTTCCTTCATTCCTTTGTTTCACATGTTCTTTCTGTCTTCTCCTTTCCTTTCTGGTATTTCTGAGTCTTTTCATTCTTTCCCTCTGTCTTTTTTTCAATCTTTGTTTCTGCTTTTCTGCGTCCTTCATGTTACCTTTCCTTCCTTATTTGATTCCTTGATTCTTTCAACTCTTTTGTTTAATATTGAGGAGAAATTTCACGTTTTGACTTTAAAAGATTCGGTGAAAATCTGGTGGAAGGTCATTGATTATTCTGACCGATTAATCAGAGAACAACAAATTTGCACATGCTGCAGATTTTTCATGAAACATTGTAAAAAATGTTAGAAATGCATTAAATAAAGAAACATCTCATTGTTTAAGTATTGCCTATATTTAAACAATTTGCAGATAAATATGTTTTTTGTCTTTAAGCAAAATACTAGCTTAAATCTATACTCTGTTTAGCGATTAATTGTTTAGTTGATGATTATTTCAAGAATCGATTGATCGTTTCAGTTCTGGACTTTTCTGATTGTAGGGAGAGGCAGAGACCCCAGAGGAGGTGATGGACCGTGATGAAGTGCGGCATTCTGGGAGCATTCATCGGCTTCCTGTACGGCGGCCTGCCAGCTGCGCGCCTCGCCAGGCAGAGGTACATCCAGACCAGCCAGGCGGAGCTGTACACCGGTCGCGTGGAAGCAGTCGTAAGTGAATCCTCGCCGGAGTGTGAACCGTCCTGACTAATCGGTTGTGATCGTCTAAACACGCTTTAGGGGAGATGCTATGAATTTCTCAACTTTCTCACATAATGTTGCCAGAAAGTTGCGTAAGACTAATAAGAAAGTGTATTTTTAAGACGTCCTAATCTCTGATTGTTGCACTGACGGGTATTAAATGAAAGCATCGTTGTCGTTTCCTCTTAGCGCTCCGCTCACAAACGCGGCGATCCGAGGTTTTGTACGGTACGCTGGAGATGGAGCTGGAGAGTTTCTGTCATAGTCACTTTGTTCAGGTGAGCAGAATAAGTGGATCATTTTCATGACACCTGAGGGTGAATTCACAAAGAAGGAGATGGATTTTAAATGACTTCCTGCAGGACTCTTCCCTTTCAGCTCCGCTTTATTAAAATCTGCCTTGAAAAAGTTGTGATTTTCACAAAACTTTAGTGTATTTTGAAAAAAAAAAACAGAACAATTATGTTAATTATGTAGATAGTAAATGTTTGCTGGTTGAAATAAAAAGTCAAACTAGAACAATTAAAGTATCTGAAGACATTTGTTTCTCTAAATGAAGCAAAATATGTCTTTATATTCATTAGAGTTTAAAGCTTATTGATCTTTAAGAATCTGTTTTCACATAGTTATTATTAGTTATATTATCTGACAATAATGACGGTATCATTGTTTACGGCAAAAACTTTTGGGACAATTTATTGTAATAAAAATTATAAGCAATTTATCTACATATTTCACCTTTTTGCTGCAAAACCGCTGCATAAAAATTTCAGTAAAATGCATTTCTGTTGTATTACGACAAAATATTGAAAAATTCAAGAGTGGGAAATGTTTTGCCAAGATGACGTGTGATAAATAATGAGGAAAACTAACTAAGTGATAGTTTATAACTGACGTTTTGTTCTGCTTCAGCTCCGTCAGCACCGGCCTGTCTGTGTACAGAAACAAAGACGCTGTCAGTAATTATGTTGCAGCTGGAGGTGAGTTGCTTGGTTTATCTCACCTGACGTCCAAATGAAGCCTTCCGCTGTTACATAACTTCATATTAAAATCAGTTTGAACGTCACAGAGCGTTTAGGTAGAAGAAGCGGTGACTGATGGTGAAACTCTCTCTCTGTCTGTGTGCAGCTGTCACGGTCGGCCTGTTCAGACTCAACCTGGGCCTGAGAGGCCTGCTGGCTGGGAGCGTCATCGGCGCCGTGCTCGGGTAATATTTGTTCTGTGTGCACTAATTGGTGAAAAACCCAAAAACCTAACTTTACAGCGCCCATCTCAGAGCAACTTAAATCTTCTCTGCACTATGTAGCAATTTCCCCTTGAGATCAATAAAATATATGATGTCCTAGTTTATTCTAAAAGGTTTTTGAGAATTTAGTTGCATCATAATAGATGAATGTCACAAAACTGTGATTGAAACTTTTTTTTGGGCATACACAAGCCATGTGATTAACACCAGGATGTTTCTACTGGCAGAAACGACAAAGAAGATGACAGGAAGTGGTTGAAACTTTTTGTCACAATTTATAAAAAGTGGAGTAGAATCCAGTGCTCTTCTGTAAAATGGCCGACTATAATTTCCCCAAAACGTTTGTCACTCCAGCACCTCAATGTTTCCTCTGAAAATGTCATACAACTGTTTATATTCGACACTTTCGTTATTTTTAAGAACTTATCACGTTTAATTTAATCTCTTATTTAAGAGCAACGCCGCAAATCTGTGTCGTTCTTAGACAAATACTTGTAGTGTTTATTTCCCCGCGCTCGCTTGTCGTTTTTCCACTCTTGCTTGAGAGCAGACGGCGCTCTGGCAGCCAGCTGCGCCCCACGGCAGCCCTCTGCTGCCCAGCTGCACCTTTGCCTCCATCTCTGCTCCCTCTGCCAGAGGGACTCATCTGCACTGCAGTTGGCCGTGTTTTTTTGGTTACGAGAGTAAAAAACGGGAGCCAAAGCATCATCTGCCCCCTCAACATGGACACCATTAGCCGATCCTCCTTCACTCCCATCTTCTGATTTACATTTTTGTTGCTGACTTCACTCAGGTTGAAGCAGGTTGTGATATAAAGGTCTAACCTGAGGACGGATTGTTTGTAGTTATTGTTGTGTTGGCTCTGGCCCGCTGCGTCCTGCGCTCTCTGTGGCTCAGCGGGCAGCCACCTGGAGCGTTTGATGTGAAGTAGGTGAGGTGGAAACGAGCTGAGGAGAGATGGGAGGGAGCCGAGCGCGTGGCATCACGCTCCAGAGCTCCGCTAAAGCTCCCGACATCAGTGGTGGCGAAGCCAGAGAGGAGGAAAGAGAAGTCTGGGTGTTTAGATACTCTTATAATGAAACGTTCATTTCAAATTCATTGTTTTGAAATGCGATTTTACATTGTTTTGGTTTAAATGGAAAAAAAAACAGTAAAATGTTTCCCTTAAAGGGACAGTAACGTATAAACTAATTTCATTTTACATCATGTTGCAATGTTAATTCCTAGAGTGTTTGATTCTTTCATGCATGTTTGAGAAACCTTTAATCTTTATGGCAACCATTCAGCTGTGAAACGCCTGGTTAGACTTAGCCCCGCCTTCGAGGCGCAGCTCCTCCTCCACTCAGCTCCTTCAGACTAGCCAGCAGCAATTAGCAAACATCTGGTGTTAGCTGAGCTTGTTATATGAGGAGTGCTGGTAAAAAAATAAAATCAAAAAAATATTTAAAGGGTTGATGTGATGAGTTCTTAAAGAGACCCAGTTTTTGTTTGACATGTGTAACATTTTGATAAAATAAAAAGCAACAATTTTTCTTCCCTTTCAGCACTGAGTTTCCTTTTAGGACCACATCATTATTCACCATATTTTTGATGAAATGCTTCTCTCCACAGGATTCCTGCAGGCGCCATGATCATCGGCTTGCAGCTTCTGACAGGAGAAACCTTCAGAGAGCGGAGACAGCGAGAACGCAGAGAGCTTTATGACCTCAAACTAGCAGAATGGTAAGGAAAATATTTTCACCCTTGTGTTTCTCTCAGGCCCAGTGGGTCGACTTCACACGCGTCTGAAGCCCTAAGCCTGTTTTCTGCGCTGGTCCGATCAGGTCGGCCCGCCTGCAGCTGACCGATGAGCTGATCGACACTTTGAACGTCAGCGTTCAGCCAGAAGAAACCAATAAGGACCTGGAGAAGATCGAGGAGCTGCTCAGTTTATCGCGCAATGACAACAAAGACTCAAGCAGCCAATCACAGTAGCTGAATCACTTCCTGGTATTTTCCACTCCATGTGTCGGACATGTTGTCAGTGAAAGGGTCAAAGGTTGCCCGGACTCTGGACTTGAAGAATAAACATGGAAAACTTGCTGTACAATATAAAAAGAACATTATGGTTTAAAAATCCTTTCCATCCACTGATGTAATTAATCATAGGAACGAAGAAACGCCCAACAAAATACAAAAGTAAATGAATATATTTACTTTCCCATCTTAATAAATTATTTCTAATACTGTCAGAATCTTATTTACTTGTAAAACAAATAACATTTTCTGGTCTCAAATTTTGCTTGAAACTCTGGTTTTGCTTCAGAAAATTTTTGTGTTTTCCTTCCACTCAACTTTCCTGTAGTATATTTGTAAAGTATAGCATCACCTTTTAGTAATTTGCTGGCCTTGTGTGAGATCAGTAAAAGTCAAAACTGATCCTTCCTACAACTGTTGCATGAGTTTTATGATCAAGAATCCACTTGGGAATATATTTGGAATTTTTTGTTTATTTAAAATATTTTTTCTCTGACTTGTTGTCGTTGGTGATGAGCTTCATTCATAACTGCTTAAAACGATGCACAGTGAAAACTGTATAATATATTACTGATGAATGTGTTTTAAAACAACAAGTGTTGTTTTCTGAAGCGTTCATTTGGTCTTTACGTGTTTTAAATCTTTGTAAACTCATGTTTTCGCAGTTCGGGTTTCTCTGCCTCCAGGGCTTTTTCAGCAACTAGGTCACACAAATCTTGGGCCCCTGGTGTAAACAAGACGCATCAGCAGCTGTGGCCCCGGATGCTGCGGCTGACGGACCGACGCGCAAAGCTTCATCTGGACAGAGATGTCGACGTAAATCCTTCACACGGCAGGTATTTTTATTTACATCTCCAATAGATGGGAAAATGTTTTCACTTCTTTCAGGATTATAGTGATAATTAACAAACTGTTTATTGTTAAAAATCATGATTTTTTTGCTTAGTTTCCACCTCTACTTCATTTTAAAGCTTGTATTTTTAACAACGTTTGAGGGAAAAATGGTAACAAAGAGTATTAATTGTTTATAAATTAGCAATGAGCGCCCTCTAGTGGAGGTTCTCTGGAACTTATAGCTTTAATGTTCATTTAATTAAAGATGCATTTGCTTTCTAATAAAATAATTCATTAGCACCTCAGGTTGGAAATGATTTTAATGCAGCAAAAAGTGTTGAAAATCACATTTTATCCCAACTTTATTCTGTTTTTATTCTGCTGTTAATGACTTGGGACATAAATAATAGCAACACAACCCATCAGTTTTAAGACATATGTAGATGGATTTGCAATATGCGTAATTTGCAGAACAGTTTGGGATTTAAAATAACATTTAGTGATCCCAAAAGGAAATTAAATGTAATTCGTATTAATTCAGATTCTTCAGAGAAAAAATTCCCTTCTCACCCACCGCGGGTGGTTCTTATCCTCTGAGCTCGGGTCCTCTACCAGAGGCCTGGGAGCTTGAGGGTCCTGCAGTATCTTGGCTGTGCCAAGGACTGCACATTTCTGGACTGAGATGTCTGATGTTGTTCCTGGGATCTGTTGTAGCCACTGCTCCAGTTTGGGGGTTACTGCCCCGAGGGCCCCGATGACCACAGGCACCACTGTGGTCTTCACCTTCCAGGCCCTCTCCATTTCTTCCCTGAGGCCCTGGTATTTCTCCAGTTTCTCGTGCTCCTTTTTCCTGATGTTGCAATCACTTGGTATTGCTACATCTACCACAACGGCTTTCCTCTGATGTTTATCCACTACGACAATGTCTGGTTGGTTCGCCATTACCAGATATTGTATATATATATCTATATATATATATATCTATATATATATATATATATATATATATATATATATAGATATATATATATATATATATATATATATATATATATATATATATATATATAGATATATATATATCTATATATATATATATATATATATATTATATATATATATATATATATATAGAGCGATGGCTTTTCTCTTGTAGCCGTCGAAAAGGTTTGTTGCTAAAGAAGCTCGTTCTTCACAAAGTGCTGACATCCGTCTTATTAAAGAAAGTTGAGTGGAAGAAAAAAGTGTGGTTAAAAAAGACAGAAAATGTGACATCATCCAAGAAGCTTCATCTGGAATCAACTAATCAAGAGCTGGAAGCCAAATGTTTCCACAGTCGGTGACGGACTGGGTTCCGGATCATCTGCTGGTTCTGGTCCACTGGGTTTTCTGAAGTCCACAGTCAACCAGCAGGACATCCCAGAGCTCTCCAGGCTTCCTTCTGCTGAGAAACTTTACGGAGTCGCTGATTTAATTTTCCAGCAGGCCCACACTGCACAAGACACCAACAGCTGCTTCAATCACCTCTCGGTTAATTGATTGATCGGTTGATTGATCTCACCATAGAAGTATTATCAACAGGAGCAACGCAGAGGACCTGAAGGCCGTTGTCAAAGAAATCTGGACTTTAATGCATAATTCTTGCGTGACATCACACTTCTGGGAACGTTTTAAGTGGCAGCCATCTTAGTAGGCACAAGCTTAGCGCTAGCTCTCACTTCGTTCCTGTCTAACTTACAAACAATAAAAGTACATCACGACTGTTAGACAATCATAGTTTTTGAGTACCCACCTCTATGTATTACTCAGATAAATAGCAGTGACTTTTTGTCGAATTAGCAAAATTAGCTTAGCTAGTGTATCTTTTATCTGCTAGCTAAGACAGACATGTAGCCTCCATGTGTGTTGCTACATGTACCAATCATGAGAGCCTTGTTATTCACCTGAAGAGTTTTACAAATTCATTTCAACCTTCATTCTCAGTCTCATACGGGTGGATCCCAACAGCAGCCATTTTGTTTCTGTTGGCACATTGGCCAAGAAATGTGCCAACAGAAATATTTACTTTCTGTTGGTCTGGTCACAGTAGAGGCTGCGTTTCCCCACTATAGATTTGTGGGAACTTTTAATTACACAGACGCAGAACCAAGTCCGATCTTGTCCATGCTACGCCGCATCGATGCAGTAATTCACGTAAAACCAGCGATGGAGTGGATAGAAATTCAAATGCTTTTCTTTTCTGTTTTGAATCTCTCTTTTTTTTATTATTAATGTAATGTAAAGTAACATTGTGAAACTGAATTTTTGGGTTTTCATTTTCTGTAAACCATAATGACCACAACAACAAGAAATAAAGTTTCTCTTAATTTAAATTAAAATGTTCCACAATGTGATTCAAGATGTCAAGTTTGTAACAAGTAGTTGATTGAAAACAACTTTCCAAAGATGTTGAAATAACAAGTAGGTGAATTTGGAGTCCAACTTTTTGACTCCATGTGTTTTCAGCAACAATTAAACATCATGATCTACAGTCAAAACTGCTGGCTGCAAAAGCAGAATTCACAATCACATCTTCATCCAAGCTGTCGTCAAATCATAAATCTGCTAAATCTTCAGAGTTGCGCAAATCAGCCGATTCAAAACATGCCGATCGCATCGGTTTGAATTTCTCATGTTTCCTGGGAATCTTTCGTTCTTCTAAATGTGGATGAAGCAAAGTCAGACTCAAACGGTTCGTTGTACTCAGAAATATGAGGGTAAATGAAGTTCAAGATGGCGTTTCTATGTCAAACCCAGTCCTCAAATACTATTAAACCTTTACATGTGTGCTGGTTACATTTGTTTTGGTTTAGTTTCAACTCATAAAGTTTCGTAGAAGAAGATATGAAGAGTCACTTTTGCAAGAGTTGCTGTATATTATTCTGCATTTCCTCCTGTGAGGACAAAATGAATCATCTGAATCAAATGTAAAAATAACATTTTACTAAGTATTTTTGTTTAGTTTCTACTGCAAATGTCTTATTACATTTGGAATTAGAGAAAATGATCTTACAAGTAGCTTTAGGAGTTTGTTTTGAGTAAATATTGTGTATTATTTCACTTATAAACAGACAATATTAAATTTAGGAGGACAATAAATAATGTTTTTGTTTTGAGATCATTTTCAGGTAATTTAATGCAATAAGACATTCTAGATAAACTTTAGATTCTTATGAACATTTAACACTGGAATTGGAATACATGTTAAATGTAGATGTAGATAAATAAAACAATAAATGCAGTGATTTATGAAGTCTCTGTAAATAAAATGGTCCTTCAGAAAAAGGTTGAGTTGGGACCAAAACAGCAAACTGAAGAGTTTTATCATCCAGGTTTTGATATTTTCTTCTCTTCGATCGGCAGTTTAGGAAAAATTAAAAAATGTTTTTAGATTCTGTCACACAAAATCCTAATGAAATAAACTGAATTCTTTAGCCAGTAAAAACTAGATTTCTACAATAGACTCATTTACAGATTCCTGCTCCTGCCAGAGAGTAAATGAAACGTTAAAGTGAATCTGATTCCTGCTAATGTCAGAAATTAAACCGTTCTCTTAACGTTTGTGTTTTTCAGCTGGAGGAGACGATTCCCCGGAGGAACGCGGCGTCTCGGAGCGTCTCGTATGTAATAACTTGTTAGGACAGAATCTACTCTGCAGGAATTTCGATTTGAGCTCATCAAGACGTCTTAAAGTCACAGAGCTCCATGTGTCACAACACATCTGCCGTAATCACTCCTGGCTTCCTCATGTCAGGCTGCAGGTATTTGCACAGCTGAAGCAGTCATGGCGATCTGTACATCCTGTAGTGATGTTACAATTAGCTCTTGTTTTATTCTCAGAAGTTGGTTTTGCAGAACAGGGTTTTCCTCTCTCAACCAAAACCAGAACCAAAGTGATGTGGATACATGAGGTGGTGTAAAGTTTGTCAATGCCTTCAGTCAGGAGCGGCTCTTTTACGATGGGATTCTCTGCAGGGCCTCAGATTTACAAGGTGAGATCACAGTCCAGAAGTGGAGAGTTGTTGAGCTGAAGCTTTGATGATGTGTGAGCCAGATCTTTACCATGCGACTGAATGCAACAAACGTCTCACTGGTGGAGAGCAATCAACGTTCCCAAGTCCTAAAACAGAAAAGGATCCAGGATTTTAACATGTTAGAGGTAAAAAGTAATAATAAAGCGTTTAATGTATCCATGTGGCTCTTAATGAAGCGCATCGTAGTGATGAAGCACTAAAAAAAGGTTTTTAGGCACTCCTTGTTACCTAGCAACCCCAGTGGTGCTCCAGCATGTTTGGTCAGCTGGTTTTCTGTAGATAATCTAATCTGCACATGCAGATCATGTGCTATAAATTAGCTACAATATGTTTTATTACAAGAGCCTTTTGGTCCTAAAGTTAATAATTGTAGTAATTACATCAACCTCACAGTGTAAACATGTCTGTTAAATGATTTTACTGTAAAATAAGAAGAAAGTTAAAGAGTGTTGAAGGACCAGGAAAGAGAGACAAACAGCATTTTTTAAATTATTTTCTCTATTGACTTTTTCAAATGTCAGAATGGCCAAAATCTGACTGCTTGTGGTTCTTATTGTGTAGTAACTGAATA